ATTTTTACTAGATGATTTTATTACTAAAATTAACTGTTTTTATATTATTTTTAAACTAAGCACATTTTTAAAAGTTACATGTTATGCGTGTACACTACAATAAAATGTACTTACAAGTCCATATTTATGACCAAATATAATCATTACTTTTTAATTAATCTAGGCAAAATTGATTTAAAGCATTACTTTTGGTAGGTACTGATAGGCACAGATATATAAAAGTACCAACATAATATATGACTTAAAAATTCAGATGGAATTAAATTATCCTCATTATAACGTATTGAAGTTACTTAAAAACCCCTTTAGTTTCATTTTTTATCTCCAAATTGCTCAAAAATAACAATTTAAACGTTATATTTTATCTGTAAAATCATTGTACAAAAACATGACTAATTTTAGTTTTTTCTGGTCTCTTTAAATATGGTAACGAACTTAACTAATTTAGAAATGTAATTTTTTGTTTAACTCAAAAGTAACAATTTGAAGTTAAAAATGTTTGTAGTAAAATACATTCACAGACCTAAAATTTGATCCATTCAAAATAATGATTTATATAAAAATGACCTAACTTTCAAATGCGGAGGCTTATTTATTTGAAGTTTTTAGCAACTTTTAGATAAAATACTTAGTTTTTAGATTATTATTCGGACATCTAAAAGTAATTTAGTACTCGCCGGATATACGGGGGGGAAGAGAACAATTTTTTCCTCTACTTTTGACAAACCCTGTAGGTTAATTCTGCTAGTAGATCTGCATACAATTAACTTTATCAAGAAGACTGATTTGTTACCAACACTTTGTTTTTTTATTTACCCCGATATCTTAATTTTTTGTGAAATGTGACGGTTTAAAGAAAATGCTACATTTTAGAAACGGTCATAATTTAAATGACGGTGGAGAATAAACTACAAAATAAGTAGAGTGCTGTGGCCAACTCACAATATGACAACTGTCAAATATTCGTTACTTGGTAATTGCAGTTTCATTATTATTCATTATCAGCATAATATCATGGTTTTAACGCTTACTGATGCAACATGAGCAGTTGCTCTGGTACAAGAGGGTAGGACTCAGTATTATACTTCTAGAATATTGGGTGTTACAAGGTGTAGCGTCCAGAGAGCTGTACAAGGTTTTAATGAAACTGGTAGTTTTTCGAGACGAAGAGGATCTGGCAGACGACGTTCTACAAATGTTCGAGATGATCGTTTTGTAACATTAAATGTTTTGCGAAAAATAAATACTACAGCTGTCATGGTTCGAAATCGTTTAGAAGAAGTACGTTAAGTAGCTGTTAACGAAATAACGATTCGAAGGCGATTACGAGATCATGGATTACGCTCCAGAAGACCTGCAACTGGTCCGGAGTTACTTAGGAATCACAGAACAGCACGTCTTCGATTTGCCAGGGAGCATCAACATTGGAATATCGATGAATGGAGTAAGATTTAATTTTCTGACGAGTCAAGGTTTTGTTTACGTTCTCCTGATGGCCGTGAAAGAATATACCGAAGAAGAGGCCAAAGGTTTGACCAAGCAAATTTTTCCACAAGACTCAGTTATGAAGGAGGATTGGTAATGGTTTGGGGCGGCATAAGCATGGAAGCTCGTACTGATTTAGTCATTGTTGGCGGCGGAACAATGACAGCTTTCCGATATATTCGTGATGTGCTAGATCCATATGTTATTCCATTTGCACCATTTATAGGAAACGAATTCATGTTTATGCATCACAACACTCGACCACATATTGCGAGGATTGTATCTCAATATTTAGACGAAACAGAAATTCAGAGGATGAACTGGCCATCACGTAGCCCAGACCTTAATCCAATTGAGCACGTCTGGGACATGATGTACAGACGAGTTCATAACCGAGTTCCTTCTCCAAGTATTTTAAATTTTTTAAAAGATGCTTTGGTCCAAGAATAGGATCAGATTGACCAGATGAAGATTCGATATCTAATAGAGGGTATGCCATGACGCATTGAGGCAGTTATTCGCGTTTGTGGGAAAAATACTCGTTATTAATTTGTAATAATTATTAGTGTATTTGTTGTTTGAGTTATTTATAAAATTATGTATTACTCTGCTAAAACTGAATAAAAAAATTAAGATTGTTGCATTTTCTTTAAACCGTCACATTTCACAAACAAATTAAGATATCGGGGTAAATAAAAAACAAAATGTTGTAAACAAATCAGTCTTCTTGATAAAGTTAATTGTGTGCAGATCTGCTAGCAGAATTAACCTACACGGTGTGTCAAAAGTAGAGGAAAAAATTGTTTTCTTTTTCCCCCTGTATATCCGGCGAGTACTAAATTACTTTTACATGTCCGAATAATAATGTTAAAACTACAGTATTTTATCTAAAATTTGCTAAAAACTTCAAATAAATCAGCCTCCGCATTTGAAAGTTAGAGCAGCATTTTTAAATAAATCATTATTTTGAATGGATCGAATTTTAAATCGGTTAGTGTAGTCTATGCGCAAAAATAATAAAGACCGCTGGATTTATGTTTTGGGTACTTCTCAGGTAATGTTAGGTTAGGTTTGCAAACTGGTCGTGTTAATGCACTTGAAACTGGAAAATCAACCATATAAGGTCGATAGATACTTAAAGTAGTTCCAACGAACATGTAAAAGATATTAGCAGGAGGCCGGCGATAACTTGCTCAGGTGGTTATTTTAGTGGGTAAAGGGTAAAACTATTGGGAAAGGGAGAACCTGAACCGCATCTCTATAAGGGATTTCCACATATCAAAAAAATATCAAGAAGTTACTTCATCGAAAACTATTTTTTGGGCCAGTGTATCTAAAAATATACACAATCGAAAACTAAAAAGAAAATAATTTGAAAATGGAATGAATTATTTTAGCACATACAAAACAACAAAAGAAATCACATTGGAATAAAAAACAATAAGAAATCGTAGAATTTGAGGGTCGGCTTTGGCGCTGAACGTGTTAAATGTTTAGGATGTAATAAGATACTTAATTTAAAAATGTATCTATATACTTGCTGGATGTTATAAGAATGGCAGTTTTTCTGTAGAAATGGTATACTGTGACGTAACAACTGGATGTCACAAGATGCAAGGTTTTTCTGGATGTCACAAAGTGTTGTTAATAAAAATATATACCGTGTATACTTTGGATCTCACAACGATAGGACGTTTTATTTTTTTAAAATGTGTATGGTTGTGATATTTTTCGCTCAGCCATAATATTTTTTTAATTAAAAGAAGTCATATTTTTATTTTTTTCCTAAAGTCTTTGCAAAGGGTGGATGTCACAAAGTCAAAATTTTTGCTGGATGTCACATGATACGCTGGTCGAGTATATATATATATATATATATATATATATTGTTGATATACCTTCTAGACAAAAAAGCTTTTAACGTATTTCTATTTTTATTGTAATAAAAATAAATGCTTCTGTAGGCAAAAATTAAATATATTGTTCTCTTCTAGCATTTTTTAACATTTCTATTTCTTTTCGTTTCTTTTCTTAGATTTTTTCAAAAGAGACTGATTCATATTTTTAAAGTAAATCCGGAGAGGTATGGGTTAAGCCTTTATACCTGTACTTACATAAAATTTCTTTTAGTAAAATTAAAAAATAATCCGTAAAATTGGTGTACTATGAAACCCTTGCATATAATATACCGGGTGTTCAAATTAAAGTGTTACAGTTAAATACCGCCGAAAATATGCATTTTAGAAAAAAAAGTTTCAGACAAAAGTTTTATAGTTTTTTGGGGGAAACATTTTGGCTAAATTCATTTTTTTATATTTGACCATAATATGGCCATATCGAGGTGGACTTTGTTTTTTTAAATGGGAATCCCATTTTTTTCTTACATATTCTTAAAGTACATAAAAAAATAAGAAACTTTTGAGGGAAATATTTTTTTTATTGGACTTTTACTTTTTGAGTAACAGCTACTTGAAAATGTTGCTGCGCGAAAAAAAAGTTGGACATATTATGGTTAGATATAATAAACGATTTTAGCCAAAAGTTTTTCCCCACAAAACTATTTAATATTCGTCTGAAACGTTTTTTTTTTATAAAAATCGGTATATAGCTGTAACGCTTTAATTTGAACACCCGGTATATGCTAAAAATAAGGTGTACAAATACGTAAAATTTATTCGTCCCTCGTAAAACATCAGTAAAATAGATTATAAATTGTTTTCATTCACAAATATTAATTTCTTAAAAATCTAACAGAGGCGCCACTTTCCAGACGAAAAATCTTGCAATGTAAGGGTTTCGTAGTACCCCACTTTTAAAGTTTATTTTTGACTATTTTTAAAATAAAAAAATATGTATGTGTAGGTAAAGGTTAAATCTATGCTCCTCTGGAACCACTTTTTCAAAATTCAATTTAGTTTTTTCTAGAAAAAATTGAGAAAATGGGTAAAAAAAATCGAGTTTTGTATTTTTTTTTTAGAAAAAAGTTTCAAATTTTAAAAAAGTGTTTCCAGAGGAGCACATAGATTTATCCTTTACCTACATGTTCATATTTTTTTCTTTCAGAATAAGTCAAAAATAAACTTTTAAAGTGGGGTACTACGAAACCCTTGCATGCTCCGCTCTTAAGAGACAAAAGTTGAAACGCAGGTAAAAGGTTTTATGCTGACGGGAACTCGAGCCGCCCGAAAAAATAAATTAAATTGCAAATAAATTAGTGAATATTGTAGTGTAAATAATAAACTGTTTAAAAATAAATTAACAAATAAACGTTACAATACTATAATAAAAGTCACGGTTAAAATACGATATTGTATCATAGATATAATTAAATAAAATTAAGGTAATCAAATATTTGAAAATTTAACTGAATTTTTTGATAGTATCCTATATAAAAATTACTGGTAAATAATATGATACATATATCATGAATATGTTATAATTGAATAAAATTGAGACAAACAAATGGGTGAAAACCTAATTCAATTTCCAGGTAGATTCCAACATGAATTACTTACTTTTGCACGTATTACTGGAAATTTAAAATTAACAGAGTTTTCCATATATCGTAAAACAGGAATTATGTACAACAAACATGTAACACCACATGATACTGGGTTTCCAGGTAATCCAAAGAAGATTTTCCTCTTTTCTTTATAAATAAGTGTTGCAAAAGTAGTCGGTTTCCTAAAAACAACACAGATTAAAATGTGTACGAAAAGGAATTTTTTATTCCGATTTAAAACCGGGTTAACTGTGCCTACTTATTAAGCCTGCTTTGCTTCGCTTAAGGCCGAGCAGAGAAAGTGAGAAGTCTGCCTCGTTTTCTCCCAGACAATTATATTTGGAAGACGCAATAATTCATTTGAATCTAATGAAGATGGGCATTTTAGTGATACCACTTATTTCCCCAAACTCTAAGCCCTAATCCCTACACCATAAACTCTAAACCCTAACCAATAAGCTATTATAATCTATTCAATACCTTCTAATTAATTATTCGCGTTTGGCAACTAATAAATGTCAATGTGACAAAAATGAATAATTTAAGAGCATATCTTAATACTCGTATAGTAGCAGAAGGTGCATTTTTTACATCATAAATCATAATTATCCGAATATAACTCAAAATAGATATTTTTAAGTTGTTCTTGGCATATAGAAAAGTGAAATCTTACACGAAAACGTACAAAGTACACGAATATTCGCTGTTTCGGTAAAACAACGACGCAAAAAATGCAAAATTATAAATTTTTCAGTAGAGACAAAAAACAAATATTAATTCCTTTGGGCACATGAATTAGAAACAACTTGTCCTAAATAACAAATACGTCATTTAACCACCAAGTAAGTAACGTCTCACGTAAAATTTCAGATACAACTAACTGATTCATGCGTCATTGTGTCTCCAAAAGTGGAGGGGCAAACGTTAATATTTAAAAACTGACGCAACTACCATCTAGCAGCCCTGACAGGATATAAAATTACTCCGTTGTTATACCGTATAAAGCAGCCATACCCAAACTGCGGCCCACGGGCCGCATGCGACCCTCCAAGCTGTTTTGTGCGGCCCTCCACGCTTTTTTTGCGGCCCTCCAAGCTTTTTTGTGCAGTCCCAAACACGATCATGAAATAATGGTTGACCTATAGTCCTGTCCTTGCAACATGAGGACTTTTATTTTTTTTTTAGAAAGTAATGTAAACTAAAACAATATGAGGACCTTTTTTTTTAAAAGCATATTGTGGCCCGTATAGCATAACAAACAGATTTATGTGGCCCAAAAGAAAAAATCTGATGTGTCCAACACATGACTTTCCTATCTAGTTATTATAGGCCTTTTCCGGTTATTTTGTACAACCTATTGCCGCATCTCTATAAATATTTAGAGGATAAACTAATTATACAGGGTGGCTCACGCTCAACGGGACGGAGCTTTATGGGAAAACGACCAAAGATATAAAAAATTCGTTTGGGAGGAATACGTAGGTTACAGACGGCTACAATTTAAAATTTGTTAGATGTATACAGGATGTCCCACATAAGAAAAAAAAAATTAGTTCATTAAAAATTATTCAAACAAGAGTAAACAATTAATTTCTGGGAGACTTTTTTTCCTTAAAAATTCAAATAAATCGAAAACTTATAATAATAGTAATAGGGAACCTTTAGTTAACTGACATTATTTTTAATGTAGTTTTTAATTCTAAAATAAAAAACAGGGTGTTCCATTAAAAATAATATAACTTTGTATATTTTCTCTTATGTGGGACATCCTGTATACATCTAACAAATTTTAAATTGTAGCCATCTGTAACCTACGTATTCCTCCCAAACGAATTTTTTATATCTTTGGTCGTTTTCCCATAAAGCTCCGTCCCGTTGAGCGTGAGCCACCCTGTATACATTATCCACATACATCTACCTCGAAACATTTTTCTATAGATATTCATTGAAGACGAAAATATTGAAAAATTTAAATTTAGCACTTTTCCATTACGGTCCATTTTAGAAAAATCATGTATAAACAAAAATTATAGAGATTGATATCGCAAACAACTTTTAGTTCAACAATTTTTATATAAATCAGAATTTTGCACATTTTGTCAAACTTCTCGAATACGGACCATTTCAGGAAATTTTGACAAAAAACAAAAATTATAGATAATAATATTAGAAGTAACTTTTATTTGAACAATTTTCTTCTCCAAACATAAATAACAGATATATTCCATAAAATATAAAAACGACCTCCCATAAAGTAGCCCCCAGATGTTCCGACTCTGCCCAAAATCTAATCATTTTACGTCAGGCCAAAATAAACCTTAAATTTATTGTTTTTTTCTTTATCCGTTTTTGAGTTTTCTTCAAAATTCGAAATTTACACATTTTCTCAAATATCTCGAATACGGTTCATTTTAGAGAAATTATCTATAGGATAAAAATCTGATGTGTCCAACACATGACTTTCCTATCTAGGTATTACAGGCTTTTTCCGGTTATTTTGTACAACCTATTGCAGCATCTATATAAATGTTTAGAGGATAAACTAAATATATACATTGTCCACATACATCTACCGCGAAACATTTAAATTTGGCACTTTTCCTACAATTTTTCCATTACGGTCCATTTAAAAAAATCATGTATAAACAAATATTATAGAGATCGATATCGCAAACAACTTTTATTTCAACAATTTTCATAAAAATCAGAATTTTGCACATTTTGTCAAATTTTTCGAATACGGACCATTTCAGGAAATTTTTACATAAAGCAAAAATTATAGATAATAATATTAGAAGTAACTTTTATTTGAACAATTTTTTTCTTCAAACATAAATAACAGATATATTCCATAAAATATATAAACGGCCTCCCATAAAGTACCCCCCCAGATGTTCCGACTTTGTCCAAAATCTAATCATTTCACGTCAGGCCGAAATAAAACTTAAGTTTAAAATTTAATGTTTTTTTCTTTATCCATTTTTGAGTTTTCTTCAAATTTCGAAATTTACACATTTTCTCAAATATATCGAATACGGTCCATTTTAGAGAAATTATCTATAGGATAAAAATGATAGAGAATTATATTACAAACAACTTTTGTTTGAACAATTTTTATAAAAAAAAAAATATTTTTTTACATTTTGTCAAATTTCTCGAATACGGACCATTTTAGGAAAATTTTGTATATAACAAAAATTATAGATAATAAAATAAGAAGTAACTTTCATTTGAAGAATTTTCTTCCCCAAACGTAAATAACAGATATATTCCATAAAATATAAAAATGACCACCTATAAAGTACCCCCCCAGATGTTCCGACTCTGCCCAAAATCTAATCAGCTCATTAGACGTTGGAACAAAGCTTAAGTTTGAAATTTGGTGTTTTTCCGTGTATCGGTTCATGAGTTATGCGTTATACAGACACACACACACACAGACACACACACACACAGACACACACACACACACACACACACACACACACACACACACACACACACACACAGACATCATCGCGAAAATAGTCAAAACGGATTCAGGGGACCTCAAAACGTAAAAATCCGTCGAAAACTCGAGGTTGAAAAAAATCATGATTCCTATACTTTCCTTATATCTGTATACAGATAGGAAAGTAAAAATTATAGAGAATTATATTACAAACAACTTTTGTTTGAACAATTTTTATAAAAAAATATTTTTTTTTACATTTTGTCAAATTTCTCGATCACAGACCATTTTGTATACAACAAAAATTATAGATAATTATATTAGAAGTAACTTTTATTTGAATAATTTTCTTCTCCAAACACACACACACACACACACACACACACACACACACACACACACACACACACACACACACACACACACACACACACACACACACACACACACACACACACACACACACACACACACACACACACACACACACACACACACACACACACACACACACACACACACACACACACACACACACACACACACACACACACACACACACACACACACACACACACACACACACACACACACACACACACACACACACACACACACACACACACACACACACACACACACACACACACACACACACACACACACACACACACACACACACACACACACACACACACACACACACACACACACACACACACACACACACACACACATACACACACACACATACACACACACACACACACACACACACACACACACACACACACACACACACACACACACACACACACACACACACACACACACACACACACACACACACACACACACACACACACACACACACACACACACACACACACACACACACACACACACACACACACACACACACACACACACACACACACACACACACACACACACACACACACACACACACACACACACACACACACACACACACACACACACACACACACACACACACACACACACACACACACACACACACACACACACACACACACACACACACACACACACACACACACACACACACACACACACACACACACACACACACACACACACACACACACACACACACACACACACACACACACACACACACACACACACACACACACACACACACACACACACACACACACACACACACACACACACACACACACACACACACACACACACACACACACACACACACACACACACACACACACACACACACACACACACACACACACACACACACACACACACACACACACACACACACACACACACACACACACACACACACACACACACACACACACACACACACACACACACACACACACACACACACACACAGAGACATCATCGCGAAAATAGTCAAAACGGATTCAGGGGACCTCAAAACGTAAAAATCGGTCGAAAACTCGAGGTCGAAAAAAATCATGATTCCTATACTTTCCTTATATCTGTATACAGATAGGAAAGTAAAAAGGTTGAGTACAGCTGGTATAGATAGACTAATTTGGAAAATAATGCCATGATAAAATCAAAACGTCATAATTTTGCACTTGCGTCATTGTTTTACCGGAACAGCGATATTGAAATATGTAATTTTAGTAAATTACTCACCCAGGTTTCATATTCACTCGAGCAAAATGGATTGTAGCTCCAAAATCTTCTAATAGAACTTGTTTAATAACATCAAATTCACCCATAGAAACTCCTCCACTAGTAATGACCACGTCATTTTGTGTGAATGCTTTTTCTAAAGCATATTTAACGGAATCTGGACTAAAAAAGCATAGTTTACAAAGTGAATATCAAAGGAAAAGATAATTTATTTCCACAATAGTTTATAAAATTTGACCGACAGCTGATAGCTTTCGTTTATTAATAAAATTTGATATACGAACATTGTTTTATTCTTAATCGTCTTTTAATTTTTTTAAACAAAAACTGTCTTTTCCAACAAATTTAGAGAATTAAGATTCATTAGACCTAATTTTGATCTGAGCTACTATGCAGAAGAAAAAAAAAAAGAAGAAGAAAAAGAAGTAGTAGAAGAAGAGATTTTATTTGTTTGGTCTTATTTTTATTCATAAACATTATTCTATTTTACTCGCTTGAAAGAATTGTGACAAAATCCACAGTTGACCATAATTTTTCTCGACAGCGCGAGGGTGTGGTTTATTTTTATATGAACAAAATACCAGATAAGATAACTGACTAAAATGAATATCTCAAATTAAAATTATTTAATATTATTTAAGTTTCTTGAGGAGAGTTTATTTAGTTTTTTTGGTTGAATATGTCTGTTCAATTAGGGGATACAATTATGTAAGGATCAAATTGACAACATCGTGCACACTCCCGTTTAAATATCTAAGATCAAAGATTTATTTTTACGGCATGGATCTGGTGTCTTATCTTGGAAATGTTTGATTCTACCTTTACAAATTTGGGGAGCTAGAGGATCGCATGTGGCACACGAACCATGTGTTGCCTATGTATGCCTTAACCTTCATGCTGAAATTAAAATTTTTGTAACTCGCGAGGTGAATATTATAATGTTCTATCTGCACTTTTTTCCGAATCTGACTTTTTCACACAGGTATATTATTTTATTCAATATTATTTAAGAATGTATTTTGTGGGTTGAATATGGACAAAAATTGTTCTATCTCAGTGTAGATAGAATAATATTGAATAAAATAATATACCTGTGTGAAAAAGTCAGAATCGGAAAAAAGTGCAGATAGAACATTATAATATTCACCTCGCGAACTGTATTTGCTTTATTACTTTGATGTATAAAAAAAAGAAATTCAACATTTACTATTCTCTACATCTCCGTTAACGAACTGAAATTGCGAATGGAAATATTAGGCATATAAAACATTGCTTTTTTAAATATTAAACTTACTTGTCCTTGGCTACACCACAATCTCTTGGGTTGTAACTATATTGTTTCAGCAGATTCATCAAAGTTACTTTATTAGCATCTCTAATTTTTCCTGGTTCCAGTGCTTCTCCAGGGTCACAAATTTCATTACCAGTAGAAATAATTCCAATAGTTGCACACCTAAAACCACATAAAACGTGAAATGTAGCGGCACCCTAGTACAAAAAGAAAAACAATTGAGTCAGTGTATGGGTAATTTATTAAAAAAATATTTATAAAGAAGTTTAGTTTTGATGTTTTATCAAAATTACCCGTGATATAGGATTTGTTGCACTATTGATTTCTAACCATTATTATTTGCCTGTGTTGTCATTTTTGAATGTTTTACTGAGTTTTAAATCATTATTGTTTCAATAAAGGCTAAAAATAATACGATTTTATTATTTTCAGTTAGTCTAAGGGCCAGTCTTTTCTCCTCTGAGTAAAGTTGAAAGTAACTACTTGCTGAATAAACTATAGGGCTATTGTTTGTTTATCTGTCAGGTAAACTTACATGTAACTTTACTTAGAGGTGAAAAGATCGATCCTAAGAGTAAAAAACAAACTTTTGTCGAGTCTACGGTCGAGCTGCTGTGGTCAAACGAACTATTCAAATAGCAATTTATTTAAGTGGCAGTGGTTCAAGTTTACTACCAATGATTTTAGCCCAGTCGCATAGTGGAACGAGCTTAAGGCAGCTGCTGGACATTAAAGATTTTGCCCTTTTTTTTCTAATTAATCATGACACTAACTAGTTAAGAGACACATAAAAAGCAAACTAGTCTATTATATAATTCCAAAATACATAATTTTTGACGAAAAAATTTGGTGTTTGAAACTCGACCTGACACTACTAGCACCATTTCGAATACAACCCTAATTTATTTGTAAACTAAACTAAACTAAACTCGTGATAAAATTACGTAATTTGTAAATTCTTATTTATAAAAGGGTACAATATGAAGCAGGGTGTTTTGAACAATGATATACTTAATCAATTTACCGAAATATGCGAGACATTTAAAAAATTACAAAGAACTATTAAATGTTTATGAAAAATATAGAAAACACTAAACGGCACAATTTAAAATTATTTTGAGTATACGGGGTAAATATACCCTTTATTTTTTTATGACAAACCCGAAATATTGTGAGTTATTTTTGTTAGTATCACTAGGTGTTTACTTTCAACTATTTTGTTACAGTCTTTGCTTATAAAATTTGATAGTCCAGGATCCGTAAGTAAGATCGACCTTCACCCATCTATTTACCGGATAAAAGTTTTTTTTTATTAAATAAAATATGTTTTTAAATATACCGCAAATGGGTTGCCTAAAAAAATACGGTCACGGCCATTTTTTACTTTCCTCTCTGTGTACAGAAAAGGAAAGTATAGGAATCATGACATAAGTTGTTTATGATGTCATTCTCTATTGTTTTGTTTCTATACATGATTTTCCTAAAATGGACCTAATTTGAGATATTTGATGAAAAGTGCAAATTTCGAATTTTGAAGATAACTTAAAAACGGATAAAGAGAAAAACACCAAATTTAGAACTTAAGCTTTAATCTATCCTGCGATGAGCTGATTAAAGTTTGGGCACAGTCAAAGCATTTGGGAAATACTTTACAGGATGTCGTTTTTTTTACTTTAAGAAAATAAACAGTCTGGACCGAATTTTCTTAGGTAACCCATTTGCGGTATATTTAAAAACATATTTTATTTAATAAAAAAAAACTTTCATCCGGTAAACAGATGGGTGAAGGTCGACCTTATTTCGGATCTTAGACTATGACACAATGGCCTTGAAATTAAAATCTGACTTTTTATGGTTTTTTGATTGAAAATATTGGTCTTCTGCATTGATAGTTGGTACTGCTAATTTTAAATTAGCAAAAATAAATCTACCATATAACCAGTTTCTATTTTGAATAATTAACCAAGTTTCTGTTCAAAATCAAAAAATAGAAAGTTACATTAGTTAGATTAGTAAACAATACATAAATATTGTGACAATAATTGGGTGTCCAACTGCATCTCTTGTCGAAATATAATAATATGTATTATAAAGCCCAAAAATTGTCCAAACAACATTCAATATACTCTACTGAAAATTTGACTAGAATTACATAGTACAGATTACCTCCGAGGTACTGATATATTTCACATAAACAAAATCACCAAAGGTAACACTAAATAGTGAAAAGTTAGCAACTACGCATGGACTAAACAATATTCATAACGTATGGGCCACGGACCAGTCAAAACAAAATTTTTTTTAGTCACTTTTGTTGCAAGCGGTTGCAGCAAAACTTTGTATTGGTAAATACAGCATAAAGTAGAAATGCCATAGCCATCAACAAATAATCGGGACTCAGTGGGAGTTTTTGATAGTTACGAAAACGAAAAGCGAAATGCATTCGATTTCACAAGAAAATACATATTTCCATGAAAAATAAAGTTAATTAAAAACATGTGTTTCAAAATCACTCTAAAATTAATTAAGAATATGGACTAAAATATACAAAAATTATAGAGATCGACATCGCAAACATCTTTTAGTTTAACAATTTTCTTAAAAAAATCAGAATTTTTTACATTTTGAAAAATTTCTCGGATACGGACCATTTTAGGAAAATTTTTTATAGAACAAAAATTATAGAGAATAATATAAGAAGTAACTTTTATTTAAAGAATAAATAAAATATAAAAATGACCCCTTATAAAATACCCCCCAGATGTTCCGACTCTGCCCAAAATCTAATTATTCCACCTTAGGTCGGAATAAAGCATACGTTTAAAATTCAAGGTTTTTTCATTATCCGTTTTCTTCAAAATTCAAAATTTACACTTTTTCACAAATATCTCGAATACGGTCCATTTTAGAAAAATTATGTTTAGAACAAAAATTATAGAGAATTATATCACAAACAACTTTTATTTAAACAATTTTCATAAAAATCAGAGTTTTTACATTTTGTCAAATTTCTGGAATACGGACCATCGTAGGAAGATTTTGTATTTAACAAAAATCAAATAGAATAATAAAGGAAGTAATTTTTATTTAAAGAATTTTCTTCTCCAAACGTAATTAACAGATATATTTCATATTATATAAAAATTACCCTTTATAAAGTGCCCCCCAGATGTTTCGACTATGCCCAAAATCTAATCAGGTCACCGCAAGCCGGAATAAAGCTTATGTTTAAAATTTGGTGTTATTCTTTGTATCCGTTCAAGAGTTATCGTGGATACAGACACACAAAGATATACACACACACACACACACGCACGCACGCACCAACGCACCCACGCACGCACGAACGCACGCACGCACGCACGCACGCACGCACGCACGCACGCACGCACGCACGCACGCACGCACGCACGCACGCACGCACGCACGCACGCACGCACGCACGCACGCACGCACGCACGCACGCACGCACGCACGCACGCACGCACGCACGCACGCACGCACGCACGCACGCACGCACGCACGCACGCACGCACGCACGCACGCACGCACGCACGCACGCACGCACGCACGCACGCACGCACGCACGCACGCACGCACGCACGCACGCACGCACGCACGCACGCACGCACGCACGCACGCACGCACGCACGCACGCACGCACGCACGCACGCACGCACGCACGCACGCACGCACGCACGCACGCACGCACGCACGCACGCACGCACGCACGCACGCACGCACGCACGCACGCACGCACGCACGCACGCACGCACGCACGCACGCACGCACGCACGCACGCACGCACGCACGCACGCACGCACGCACGCACGCACGCACGCACGCACGCACGCACGCACGCACGCACGCACGCACGCACGCACGCACGCACGCACGCACGCACGCACGCACGCACGCACGCACGCACGCACGCACGCACGCACGCACGCACGCACGCACGCACGCACGCACGCACGCACGCACGCACGCACGCACGCACGCACGCACGCACGCACGCACGCACGCACGCACGCACGCACGCACGCACGCACGCACGCACGCACGCACGCACGCACGCACGCACGCACGCACGCACGCACGCACGCACGCACGCACGCACGCACGCACGCACGCACGCACGCACGCACGCACGCACGCACGCACGCACGCACGCACGCACGCACGCACGCACGCACGCACGCACGCACGCACGCACGCACGCACGCACGCACGCACGCACGCACGCACGCACGCACGCACGCACGCACGCACGCACGCACGCACGCACGCACGCACGCACGCACGCACGCACGCACGCACGCACGCACGCACGCACGCACGCACGCACGCACGCACGCACGCACGCACGCACGCACGCACGCACGCACGCACGCACGCACGCACGCACGCACGCACGCACGCACGCACGCGAGACATCATCGCGAAAATAGTCAGAACGGATTTAGGGATCCCAAAACGTAAAAATCCGTCGAAAACTCAAGGTCGAAAAAATCATGATTCCTATACTTTCCTTATCTGTATACAGATAGGAAAGTAAAAATGTTGGCCAAATGAATCAAGTAATTTATTTAATTAGAATTTTGTTTTATTGGTTTTCTACACAAAAAATATATTTAACAAGGAACGCAAGTGTTATATTTCATAATACAGAGCTTTGGGTAAAGTTTTCAATCAAATTTACTTTTAATTAAACAAAATATGTTCTTCTAAACATATATATCCAAAATTTAAATGTAATTTTTGCTGTTATGTCCAGCGTTAAACATACGATCGTTCCAGTGTGCACCGCGTTAATATCTCGTCGAGTCGACTATCGAGCGACGAGGAGCCGCGCCGATTGTTATTTGTTTTAACCTATTTCGTTGGTATTGTAATGTGAGCCATTTCATTATTCAGTCATGCTCTAATACTCCAAGTCCCTCTCTGTATTATTTGGCCTTTGAGGCTCAACTTGACCGCTTATTATACATAATTGAACCCCTTAAGACCAAACCTATGGGACGACTATGGTGGACGTGTTTTCGATGATGTTCGAGAATGGACGAGATAATGTTTCTAGTGTATTGGAGAGAATATGTGAAAATTACTAGAACGTTCTGGAGCCCCCATCATTTTTTAAAATTTGTATATAAATTGGTGGAAGAACTCGGTGCAATCAAGTTGTTATATGGACAGTGCAGATAAATAGTAATTAGTAGATAGACAGTGGTGAATATAAATAGTGATCAGTTTAAAGACATTCGAAGTATATATAAATTAAAATAATATTGTTTAAAATAAATAAGTGTTTAAATAAATTATTAATAAATAAACTGTTGTTTGAAAATAAACAAACATCACAGTATTGTTATGCAGCACCCTGCAGTAGCCTGTGGCTATCATAGGAAACGTATAGATAGAAAAAGAAGTGGAATGTTACTCATCCCTCTACAATGTGTTGCGGTCGTCATAAGTAAAGGTACGAGTAAATGGAGAAGATAGAATATTCCCGAAATGTCTCGAAATGTCATTCCTTGTCAAAGAAAAATCCAGATTGTTCGAGATGGTTGTAGAAGCTCGAGGCAAGCTTTATAAGGCGACGACCTGACGTCAGTTGGCAGTTTTATGATAGACGTTAAACGTTAATGTTATCAGTTGAAGTTATTGTTATTAGATAGTTATTGCAAGTTCACTTAAGGTCAGTGACTATTACTGCCGCTCTTATTTTGACATCTGACCATGCGCAGATCACTAACTTTAATAAAGATTGTGCCTGTCCTTAATAGAGAGATATTGCAAATATCTATAAAGCCAGCCACTAAACTTTGAATTATAGTTCATCTTTTTTGTTGTCTATAATATTAAAGAGGCATTAGAAATTATAATTTTAGAAGGTTTAAATGACGATTATATTAAATATATAATATTAAAAAACTTCTAACGGATACGAATGTCGGCGAGCGCATCCGAAAACTATAAAGTCGCCACTACCTACTGCCCTTAAACATCCACAATTAAGAACAGGCACAATCTTTAATAAAGTCAGTTTTAGAACATAAACATCTGCGCATGCTTGGATGTCAAAATAAGAGCGGCACTAATAGTGACTGACCTTAAGTGAACTTGCAATAACTTTCTTATTAAGGACAGGCACAATCTTTATTAAAGTTAGTGATCTGCGCATGCTCAGATGTCAAAATAAGAGCGGCACTAATAGTGACTGACCTTAAATGAACTTGCAATAACTCTCTATTGTTAAAGTTGAATTGAGTTATTGTAAAGTTGAATTGAAATAAATTGTGATACCAAAAACCAAAAAACCAGCGTAACAGTATAAATGATAGTTCGAGTCACTCTGGTCAACTGCATTTAGAAGCAGTATTGAGTTCTCCACTGTCTGCTGATAACATCATAATGAAAATACTCCAATTATGTTTGGGATGCTGGAACCAAATTAATCAGAACAATTATGACTTTTTATGTATAATTTTTTGCGAAGCAACTCGCTACGAGCCCAGGCCGTACAGGTTAGGAAAATTAGTAAAAGCGTTGCTTTATTCATGCCCCAGATCGCTGGACCGCTATTTCGATAACCAGCGCTATTTTAGTAAACGCTATTTCCTTACGTGCTATTTTGAGTAAGCATTATTTTGTTGAGCGCTATTTCGTTCGGACGCTATTTCGTTACACGCCATTTTGCTTAGGCTCTCAAATAATAACGCTATTTTGTTACATGCTATATCGGTCGGCGCTATTTCGTGAAGAGCTACAGCGTACCCATAGCGATATCTAGACTTTCTGAGAACTATGGGGGGTTTCATCAATAAAGTGAAATATTTCAGATAATATTGTTTTCATAAAAAATATTATGTGTTCAAACATGACTTTCCTGTCTTACCCAAAGTTATTATAGGCTTTTCCAGTTACTTTTCACAAAACTTTTTTATACATGTGTACTCATTACCAACGAAAATACTTAAAAATTAAAGTTATTCACTCAAATTTTTCCACTATGGTCCATTTTAGAGAAATCATAAACACAAAAATTATAGAGAATGATATCGCAAACAACTTTTATTTGAAGAATTTTCTTCTCTATATAGTACCCTTCTTCCAAATGTTTCGACTATACCCAAAATTTAATTAACTCACCAAAGCTTGAATTTAAAATTTGACATTTTTCTCTTTATCCTTTTCTGAGTTATCTTCAAAATTCGAAATTTGTACTATTTCTCAAATAACTAAAATCGGTCGGTCCATTCGAGAAAAATTATTTATAGGACAAGAATTATAGAGAATAACATCTCAAGCAACTTTTATTTGAACAACTTGCTTAAAAATACGAATTTTGTACTGTTTTGTTAAATTTCTCGAATAGGGACGATTTTAGAAAAATTAGGTACGAAACAAAAAATATAGAGAATAACATCACAAGCAACTCTTATTTTAAGAATTTTTTTCTGTAAGCATAAATAACATATATTCCAAAATTAGTGAAACGATCCCCTATAAAGTACCCCTTCAAATGTTATGACTATGCCCTAAAACGGATTCAGGGAACCGCAAAATGTAAAATGGTAACTTAGTTTCACCAAGTAAAATGCCATTTTTTTTACATTTTTTTTTTATTATATTTATTCTACTCGTATTACCAATTATGGTGTCAGTATCATCAAACGCAATTACATTATCACAAGCTCTTAAAAGATAAAATGTTTCAGTTTCAACAGGAATAAAGAAACTGTAAAAACATAAGTTTTACTATTAGTGTTATCTTCATTGTCAATTATCTTCATGAACTTTAGAGAAACTACTTGTTACTTTGTCAACTCCTACAATAAATAGTACTTACCCCTTCCTATGTATAATTATTTATATTTATTTTATCAGACTATGCAAAATATCACTAGAGTTTATGTAAAGAAATTTGTCATGTAGAATTGCACTAAATGCAGGTTACAGGTACATTTATCTATAAATCACAGATAAGCTTAAAGGAAGATTACAAGTAAAGTACGTCAATTTTTGTGACTTATGCGTTTTTGATTGATGACATATTGCAAATATATTTAATATACAAAAGCTTGTAAGTCAAATTATTATTAGTATTAAAACTAATAATATAACTTATGAGTTTGTAAAGCTTAAAAAAATCTGCAATTTGAGAACTTTTTCAATCAAAAGCACATAAATCACAAAATCGAATTTTTGCACTTTATCCATCACTATGTAACAGTAACTGTAATAAAGAAAAAAGGATTCACTCCGTATAAAAAACCAAACCTAATAATTATTAAACTTACTTATATATTTTCACTTTAGTTTTTCCTAACATAGCCAAAACTCCAATATGGAAGGGTTGAATCCGATGATATTTATTTAAAACTAGAGAGTTCTGTTGTACATCGCTTCCAATTTGTCTAAAAAGAAAATGCTACAGTTTATATGTACACCCTATTGTAATTAATATGTTTTACTATTAACAAACTATTACCGTATGTCCTGATTTAAGCGTGGAGTAACTTCAATTTTAACAGAAACTTCTATACTACCGTCAGTAGAAGCTTCTACTACAGAAGTATCTTCGACTTGAACTACAGCATTGGCACCAGCAGGCACGGGAGCTCCAGTAGATATTCTTACTGCCTCTTGTGATTGTAATTCGTTTTCAAATGGCTGATTCCAATAAAATAAAAGAATTACTAATTAATAAACATTAAAAAATCAGTGATGTGTTAAACAACATTAAACACAAAAATAGTAAAAAAAGGAAAAAATATAAAACAGCGAAAATTGTAATAAAAATATAAAATAAAAACTTTTGACTTACCTTATCACCAGCAGCAGCTACATTTTTAATGCGTCTAATTCCAGCTCCGTCTTCTGCTCTTACAGCGTAACCGTCTTTAATCGAAGCTCTAAATGGCGGAACTGGTTCTAGAGCATGTACATCCTCTGCTAAAACTCGATTAAGAGATTTCTCAAATGGAACAGTTTCTATACATTGAGTTTGAGTACACTCTCTTAATACAATCTCAAATGCCTTGGAAACTTCTATCATTGGGTAAGGAGATTTTCGATCTCTGGCTGCCACCTTTAATTTTACCTACCACCAAAAAATGTGTTGATTACGTATAGAATATTATTTAGAGTTAGGTTTTTATTAAACAACTTTTTAATAGACAAGAACCTAAATGTATAGTGTCCGTAAACGATATAATACAAGGACGTAAAGGGACAAGGAAATTTTTTTACGGTTGTGTAGAAATAGCCTAAAATTATACAGTGCCTATTTTTTAGTTTCCTTATTTTTTTAACTTAAAACTATTTAAACCCGTATTGTCAAGCTAGCAGAACACCTAATTTTTCCAATAAAGTTATTATTTACCTTGCTAGGTGTCATTTCATTGTTTCGTGTTGATGGCTGGACATCAATACTTCCACCACGTTGCATTTTATTATGTAGAGAAGCAACCGATTCTTTCTGATCGGTTAAAAGAGCCACAGCATGAGGTATTACATCTTTTATAAATCCGAAACATTCAATTGCTGCTTTTTTGCTACCTGGCAAGTTTATAATTAATGTTTGTGACCTAATACCACATACTGCTCTGGATAGCATTGCCATGGGCGTAATTTTTAAACTGTTCGAAGTCATGGCATACGTAAGTGCTGGAGCTTTTTTTTCTATAACGTTAAGGGTTGCCTCTGGTGTAACATCTCTGCTTGAAAATCCGGTACCCCCTAAAAGACGAATAAAAATGTAGAAATCAAGATTTTTATTTCATTTTATAGAATCGCAACTTTATTTATTTTCTTATAATAGCTTATTATTAGACACTTGGTCAAAATTCAAGCGCTACATTATTGTGACGCCAGTAAACAAAAAAATTACAAACCATTCTGTCAGTGATTTTAACAAAATCGCTTCGAGTTTTTTAATATATTCTAATTAAAGGCCGTAAACAAGTAGTGTACGGTATATACAGGGCCTGATAATCCCAGTAGGTACGTGCCTTAGGCCTACAAACAGGCCCGACGAGAGGGAGGGACAGGGAGCAAAATCCCCAGAGCTCGGGCCCAGAGAGGGGGCCCGGCAATTTTTAAAAAATAGGTTATAATATTTGGGGGAAGGGCCCCACCACTGCTTTCGACAGCCCTACCTACGAATGCCGAAGGGTATACGAAGTTTTAGTATACAGGGTGATTCACATAAGAACCGACATAGAGCAGGGGCATATAGGGGGTCCCAAAATATGGCAATTTAACGCAACTTACCTCTATACCAAGTTGCTTCCCTAAGGAGTTATAGGCTTTGAAAGTGAAGTTATAAATTTTGAAAAAAAATATCTCCGTTATTCTTGAACTTAAAGCAACCAAATTTGGTACACTTTGTGGATGTATTTAGGGCGTTACTTGACAGTAACTAGAGTTTAATTGAAATTTGTAAAGGGGGTATACTGGGTGGTGCACCATTAATATTCAAAAGAATTTTGTTAACCCTTGATGGATTTTAAAAATCTTTGCTTTGTTTTGTGGGCAATTCAATTCTTAAACTTTTCTTACTCTAGTAATTTTTCGAAAAAACTCATCATTTTCATCAAAAACTCGAATAACTTAAAACGCGCGCTCTAGGTGTGTTATTTAAAATCATCGAGGGTTAACAAAATTCTGTTGAATATTAATGGTGCGCCACCCAGTATACCCCCTTTACAAATTTCAATTAAACTCTAGTTACTGTCAAGTAACGCCCTAAATACATCCACAAAGTGTACCAAATTTGGTTGCTTTAAGTTCAAGAATAACGGAGATATTGTTTTTTTTTCAAAATTTATAACTTCACTTTCAAAGCCTATAACTCCTTAGGGAAGCAACTTGGTATAGAGGTAAGTTGCGTTAAATTGCCATATTTTGGGACCCCCTATATGCCCCTGCTCTATGTCGGTTCTTATGTGAATCACCCTGTATATTATAAAATTAAATAAAAGAAGTCTCACAAAAAATGTACGTTATTTTATTTTATAATATAATATTAGCTTGCAAAAATAGTATATTATGTTACTAGGAGTAGAAGGCCAACATTATATGTTGAGCCCAGAATTTTGCACAGCTGAGGCGTTAGCCGAAGCTGTGCAAACTGGGCGAAACATATAATGGGCCCTCTAATCCGAGTGACATATTATTTTTTCTTCAAGCATTTAAATAAAAGTATGAATGAACTGTATTTTTTTTATATTCTAAATCATACACTGACAAACGTCAAATTAAATAAGTATTCAAATGACAGTTCCAGCCTACTTGATTGCAACGTTCATAATAAGCCATTTAACATTAGGTTTGTGCTTTTTTATACTAGTACAAAAATGAAAAATATTTGTACTAGTATAAAAATAGGCTACTTCTACAACACGTGTACCTTGATATAATGTAAACATTATTATACGCTTGAAGAAAAAATATATTAAATTTTAAATCCAGGATAATACATTTTATTCATGGATATTTATTATCTCTAGATTTTGCTATCTAAGCTAATGTCATATTTGGGTTGTATTATTTGAAGAATTATACTGACATTTGTATTCATAAGTTTAAAGTTTGGCTTCTACTTATATTTGTAATTACTATACACAAATACTAGTATGCTACTAACTCGACCAAATTTCGTACTTTCCGCGCATGACGTAACGTGGCATAAATCAAACAGCATTTAATTGACGTTTAAATAAGAATTATTTTTTTAATACAGTTATATTTCTAATTATAAAGGTATAATGATTGTTTCAAAACCGTTTGAAACATATCCAAAGACGGTCCTGTGCTCGATAATCCAGGTGTTCATTGTGAGCATCCTTAAATAAATGTCTACGTGACAATAATCACGTTCGCCAAGTTGCATCAGCGCGAAACCTCTCAAGGCCAACTAGTTTCTGACACGTAGACATGTATGTATCTCTTTTTTTAAACGTCACAAAACATCAGATCAGTTTGTTCTTCACTAGAAGCGTGACGCGTTTCACTAAAAAAAACATGATGACCGTTTTTTTGTTACATATTGCCTAGTTCTCTGAACAAAGATCATCAAATAATAAATAAAATAAAATGTGAACCCTAATATAGTGTTAAGCCTCTAGGTAATTTTTAAATAAAAGTGTAGTGTAAAAATTTATAAATTTAAAAGTTGTCATGCAGCGTTTTAGCACAATAAATATTGTTTTTTACGAAGTAGTTAGAATTTCATTATACGTATGTAGATGTTTGCAGCTAACACCGAAAGGAGACAGTTCATTTGGTAAGCGAGCCTTGTGGCCATATTTATAATTTGTGTTGAGTGGGTCACTAAACCTGACCTCCAAAAAATTTTTTTGCAAATTTTTGAATTTCTATTAACATAAATCGTTTGTTTGTTGTTTGTTCTTAATTGTTCGTAAATAATAATTATTTGTTCTCATTTTGTTTATGTATAATACAAAATAAATAAATAACATTTATTAACTATTTAGCCCCCTATTTTTAAATTATAATTTTTTAATTACTATTAATCTTTAGCTATTTATTAACATTTTTTAAATTATAAATTACGTTGGTTCTATCAGTAATTTTCTTTTTTTTGTCCTAATAGACCTATCCGCCGGTAAAACATTTGCGGTCGCAGTTGGAGCGAACAGCTCTACTTCGTAAGTTCTTATATAACCTCTAAATAGGGAATACTTAGGTGTAAACAATTTTAATTTAGTTAAAGTTACTATTTTGTTAATTACCGGTGATTAATGAGCAGTTGGTAGTGATTATAAGTGCAAATTTTTGTGATTTACCGTAGTTACTGAAGAGTAAGTATGTAATCGGGACGGTGGTGTAGCGGTCTATCGCGCTTATATTCATTTATAGGCAAGTTTATGAGTCTGAGACTGCTGGGTTTCGAATCCCAGACCGGACCATGTGGATTTTTAATTAAATTGCATGGTTCGGTTTAGGATTTGATGTATGGCGTATTAATAGAAATTAAATTTCTGTTGATATGACATGCAGATTAAAAAAATTCGCCATACATTACCGTCTCGATGATGGTGGGTGAGGTTTTCCGGGGTTTCCTCACCTGTAAGTCAAATGGCACCATCAATCATCTTTAAGTCGCCCCGGAGCGCCACGGCAAATAATAATAATAGCCGTCCCTTCCCCTACACAAGTCGTTCAGTCGACTTCAGGGGTTGAAATTCACTCGTAAGGGGGTGAATTAGGGAGAGCATTAGTATTATTATAATCTTTAAATTTCTACATACATACTTCACGAGTTGAGTAAATTGCATATTACAACGAGTGCTTTTAGCCCATAAGCGAGCTTGCTTGGGGAATGAAAAAACTTGCAAAATTATAAAAAAACGCAAAAACTTTTTACTACGTAACGGTAATTTAAATGGTCCAGTGCAATTCAATGGTACAAAATGGACAGTATTGAATACTTGTCCTTTTGACACAATTATTCAATTAATATTCACTGCTGCGTTAGATAATACTTCTTTTCACGAATATATTGCAAATATTGAAATTACGATTTTTAAGTTTTTGAGAGAATTTATAAAAAACGGACCAACAGCAGAACTTTACCAACAACGCCTATCTATTTTAAAACCTATTTATATAAAAAAAAAAATGATGAACACCACCAAGAAATTACAAATTTAAATGTAATTAATTGTTACGATAATATCAGTAACTTGTGGAATATTTTATTCAAAAATTCAGCAAGCATTTATGAAACCACTTATTGTTCAGATTGTAAAATATACAGAAAAGATGTTCCGGTTCTTGCTGTGAATCACCAAATTATTGCTCGTGGAGGATTTTCTGCTCTAGCAAGAGCACTAAATTTTCATCAGAAAATATACAATGTTCGTTGTATATTTTGCAAGAAGGGAAATGCTACACGTGTTGCTGTTCCTAACAAATATTTATTTATTGAATTAGATATACGTGAAAATATTAGTATACAAAGGGGAAAAACTTGTAAACTCGGCGAGCTTCCTATTTATTTAAGCTACTTAAAACTCAAAAATAATGATGGATCTGAAACTAATCTACGTTACAGGTATACTTCTTACTTTTGACAACATTTAACTTTAAGCCATTTTACTAATTCTTTCATTATTTATAAATTTTTAGATTATCTGGAGTAGCATCATATCGAACAGGCCACTATTTTGCTTACTGTCAGCGATTATCGGGAAATTGGCAAATTTACAATGATTGTTCGCCTAAACCGGAATCAGCAACTCTTCATACCGAAGTTTAACCCCACGGAGTCTTTTATATTTTGGACGAAAATAAATAAAAAATACATTCGCTTTTTTGGATGAAAATAGTCCTTTAAAAAGAGTTTTAATCCTGCATGTACTGATGAGTGATATGATATATCATAAAAAAAAGTAAATTATCGATAGAACCAACTTAATTTATAATTAAACAAATGTTGATAAATAGCTAAAGATTAATAGCAATTAAAAAAATTATAATTTGCAAATAGGGGGCTAAATAGTTAATAAATTTTATTTATTTATTTTGTATTATACATAAACAAACAACAAACAAACGATTTATGCTAATCAAAATTCGAAAACTTGCAAAAAAATTGTTGGGGGCTAAATAGAGGATCAATTTTATTTTTTACTTTTATAAATAAACGAAATGAGAACAAACAATTATTATTTGCGAACAATTAAGAACAAACAACGAACAAACGATTTATG